AGGGAGCCTTGGCTAGTGGTTAAACAAAGAGGCTTGGGAGCCAGGACCTTTTTAGGGTCCTGTCCAGGTTTGGTACTGAGGCTGGAAACAATCAGTAGAGTCTGATCAGCTGTAGTGAAGCTGTGATGTATAACAGCCCAGCTGATTGTGCTCCACAGACATCTACAGACGTCACTAGGTGCCACGCTTTAACTTGGGGCATGTCTGCAAACAGAAGGAAAACCCCCACATGCCTCCAACCCCATGTTGGGGAGTGAGGGGACCCTTCTGCAGGGGATTTCTCCAGCAGGCACCTGCAAATGTGGAGGGGGGAAACTCTCAGAGGGTTCATGTCTGCAAGTACTTACAGATGCTCACCAGGGAAATCCCCTGCAGAGGGATTCCCCCAGTGTGTGCATCACTGCTGCACTCTGATGTGGGATGTGTCTTCAAACTTGCAGACATGCGCTCTGTGTCATGCTGAAGCTCTGTATTTCCTTGCTTACCAAGACCCATCCCCTAAGATCCCTGTAACATTTCTGTGTAAGCGGGGAAAGCAAGGTGGGCGTACCCAAGGCCTGACAAGCCTGATCCTGCCTGAGATTCCTAGGATGTGCAGGACCGGGCTTCTCGAGGCTTTGGTGCCCCTGCCCAGGGTGGCTGAAGAGTGCAGACGTCTGCAGGCTGCTCTGTTCTCCCGCCATAACTATACAGATGTTTCAGTTTATCACTGCCTTCTGTCACAGCCACAAATTTGAGCATTTGTGGCATGACAGGAAGTAGGGACATCTGCTTACTTTTGTTTTGTGCCACCATAAAAATGTTTATGGTGGAACAAATATGATGTCTGTTTTCTTCCTGAGTGTCTGTGTGACATAGGACCACAGGGCAGAGAAGGCTAATTCTAGCCTGTCATGTGGGTTGTGAGACTTAATTCACTGAGAACCTTTGAAAGGCCCTGGAGATGTGCAAAGGCTGGAGAGCATGGAAGGATAGACCTGACCGGCACGGGGTGTCAGATTCCAGGATGGGAGCCTGAGCCTGCTGCACAGGGCAAGTCCCATGTTGTGTTGAAGGACCAGTGCTTTTGCATTGCTGAAAGCTGCGGCTAGTCAGGATTTCTTGGGGGAAACAGATGGGAGGCTCAGAGCACCCCTAGTAAACTCTAGTCACATCATGCATCATAGCTGTTTAATTGCCCATATAAACAAAACAAAAGATGTAAACAGCTGATACGCTGTATCAGCTGGCTCCTTCCAGAAGTCCCAGGTATCGGCATTGTCTGTGTTCCCCCCTCTCCAGCAGCCTAGGTTTACAGGGACTCTGCTCCTTGCAGGGTTCAGGGCCAGACAAACCCCACTGACTGAGGATCTGAGTTCCACCCCTTCTGATCATGTGCTCCTCTGACAAGCTACAGGTATGCCCCCTTAGTTAAGTGGTGCCAAACCTTTGGATGAGTGGTGCCAGGCCAGTCCACAAGCCAGATCTGGTCCATGGACCTGATCCAGTGCATGTTGTTGGCCCAGCTGGGTCCTGATCCCTCCAAGTGGGAGCCATTCAGATAGGGCCTGATCCAGCCATACAGGCCAACCTGGGCAGGACCTGCTCTCCCCATATGGGCCAACCTAGGAGGGACCCAGTCCCTCTGTGTAGTGTCAGTGCAGCCAAGGCCAATACAGACACATGGGGCTTGGATACTTGGTGGTCGGAGAGCCATGGTAGTGTTAATTGCCACCTCTCCCCCAGTGCCAAATGTCTGGATCTATGGGGAGCTCTGCAGGCTAGATGACATGGCTCCAGTAGCTGGATCAGGCCCACAGGCCAGGGGTTGAGCACTCCTGCCTTAGCTCAGTGAACAGCCTAATCTCATCTGCTGCAGTTTGCTCGGCTGAGCTGCAGCCAGTGCCCTCCTGTATGTTTGGAGCTCTACCTTTTTTGCCTCCTGAGATGCAGCCAACTTGCCACCCTGTAGCCCCTATTTTGACTTTCTCTTGACAGTTGACCTTCCCCTGGCTGCTTAATGTAGATCATGGCCCTAATACACCTAATACGGCAAATTGCACCCCTAGCTTCCAGTTCTCTCTCTCTTAAAGAAACAGGAGCCTGTTAAGTCCTACTTCTCATTGCTAGAGGACACGCATACATGCACACAAATGCATGCATGCATACACACACACACAGGCACACACAGACATATACACTTGGGGCCAGTATGTTACATTAGCCTCTGTCTTCCCACTGCAGGTGCATGACGAGTCCTACACCCCAACGTATTTGATTGCAGGGCGAGGATTCCCTTATCACCTGGAGGACTTCGAGCTGTACCCCTGCCTGCCTCCTGTCACTCCTCATCCCCCTACCCTTTGGAACAGACACCCCTTAATGGGGGCCCCCTGGTATCAAAGTGAAGCAGATGTGTATAGTCTCTTTAAGGTGAGTTTCTTCTTTACTCCTGCACTAGTCTCCTCCTCACCTTCTTCTGACCTGCTGTGTGGCCCAAAGCCATGTTCTTTGCAAGGGAAGCTCAAGATGCGCTGATTCAGGTCTCAGTTATTTGGGCAATGACTGTAATTCACTGCCGCAGACCGATGCACTCCTGATTTTGTACCACGAGAGAAAAAAATGTGTCCCAATTTTATCACATTTCTTTTTCCTCCACTTTTGCACACATTTTCCAGGGCTAAAAATGCAAACGAATGTGTGATTATGGATTCTACATGAATATACAGCATTTTAACACATCTCCTTTACCTGTAGCCCACTCATTACAATTTGTTGTGATAGTGGGTTTTCACAGTTTCCCCTTCCCTCATTTAATCATGTTTCTGTTAGAATTATAGAGAAGTAGGGCTGAAAGGGCCCTCAGGAGGTCCCAACTGGTCCAAGCCCCAGCTGAAGGCAGGATCATCTGTGACTACACCTTCCCAGCCAAGTGTCTATCTAACCTGTTCTTAGACCTTCCAGATGAAGCTTCTCTCTGGGTAGCCTGTTCCAGTGCTTAGCTACTCTCATAATCAGAAGGGTCTTCTTAATGGTGAACCTAAATTTTCCCTGATGGAGACCATTTCTCCTTGTTTGTCTTCTGCAGCTATGCAGAATACTCTACCACCATTCTTCAGATGTTTGAAGACTGTTATCAAATCCTGCTTCAGTCTTTTCTACCCCAAACTAAATCATTCTGGTTCTTTCAGCCTTTTCTGGTAAATCATGTTTCCTTGACTGCTAATCATTTTTATTGATCTCCACTAGACTCTTTTTAATATGTCCACATTTGTCTTGAAACGCAGGGCCCAAAACTGGATTACATAGTGATCTGCATTTTTTATTTTTATTTTTAAAAAAATTCCAGAAATTTTTCAGAGTTTATCTTCCAAACATAAAAACCAGGTTGAAATCAGAATAAAAGGAAGAAAAGGAAAAAAAATGGTTTAAATCAGGGAAAATAATAATACAGTCCCACGGCAATGAGGGAGGGAGGGACTAGAGTAAGGCTGGGACTAGGAAAGGGGTGGGGAGAGAGGTGTGAATGCAGCCTGTTGGCTGCTCCCAGGGCTGCAGCAGGAAGCAAAGTGGAGGGAACTATCAGTGGGTACAGGGTGGGGGGACATGGCTCTTGCTGCTATTCGCCCCCCAGAAGGGCTGTGGGCTGGGGGGGTGCGCTGGGCTCTTCCCAGGGGCTGCATGCCCCTGGATCTGCACTTGGGATGAGAGCAGGCTGCCATTGCAGGCTGGGGCAGGCACTGGGCTCTTCCCAGCACTCAGTCTGCTCTCACTGTAGCCTGCTGCCACTGCAGGCTGGGGCCGGCGGCGGCACTGGGCTCTTCCCAGTGCTCGGGGCAGGTGGCAGCCTGCTCTCATTCCATGCATGGATCCAGAGGCAGGCGCCCCCCGGGGAAGAGCCTGTTGCAGCCCCTCAGCCTGCAGCCCTCCTGGGGTGCACATAGCAGCAAGAGCCATCCCACCCATCCCCAAGCCCCGCACCCACTGACAGTTCCCCCCTCTTTGCTTTCTGCTGCAGCCCCAGGAGTGGCAGACGGGCTGTGTTCATGCTCCTCCCCCCTGCTGCAGCAACTTGCTGCTAGGCTGCCCTGGCGTTTGCGGGGAGGGGGGAATGGCACGGAGCTGGACACGGAGTGGGGGGCCTGACCCCGGCACCTCCCACCCCACCAAGGGTCAGAACCGGGAGCCCTGCACCCCTGGGCAGTGGCTCCAGCCCCATGGACCCATGCAGAGCGAACAGGTGCAGTGCCTGTTGCAGGGAGTGAGGCTGGGCTCTCCCGCCTGCACCCCCCAGTGGGGCTCACAGCTCCCAGCATCTAGGACAGGGCCACAGCCAGAGCCACTGGGGTGCAGCTGGGACCTGCCCACCACAGGAGCAATTCCTATGGCCCCTCCCGCCCCGTCCAGAGTCAGAGCTGAGAGCCCCATGCTCCCAGTCAGCAGCTCCAGCCACCCTCCCCTGGCCCCCGTGCAGCCACCACCACCTGTCACATGCCCCTGCTCCACATGCAGCCACCACCCCCTCCTCTCCTTTGCATCCAGCCAGAAACCTGTGCTTCAGGTAACCGACAGGTTTAGCTTACCGGCACCCCCATTCCCCGCTTGTTCCAATTAACAGGGATTTGAACTGAAAAATGGGTGTTAATTAGTAAAAACCAAATAACTTCAATAAAAAAATCAGGGAATTTATTGGTGAAAATCAGTAAAAAACGGAAATGTGGAACGTTATGGATACAGTACTCCAGGTGAGGCTTCACTAGAGCTGAACAGAATAGAAGAATCACCTCCCTTCACTTGCAAATAATGTTTCTGTTAATATAGGCCAGGATGCTACTGACTTTTTTGCAACAAAGCATGATGCTGGTTCATATGCTGCTTTCCCAGGTCCTTTTCTGCAGTTCTGTGGCCTAATCAGTCATTTACTCCTCAGTCTATATTTGTGCATATGACTGTTCCATCCTAAGGGAAGGACTTACTCATCATCCTTAATGAGCTCTATTGATTTATTTTGAACAAGTTATCCAGTTTATGAAGGTTATTTTGAATCCTAACCCCACCCTGCGGAGTGTCTGCAACTGCACCCAACATAATATTCTTTGTAAATTTGCTAAATGTGCACTCAATCTCAACTTCTAAATCATTAATCAAGATCCTAAACAACAACTGACAAAGGAGAGACCCCCTGGGAGCCCCACTTGATACCTTCTCTTGACCAGGCATGGAGCTATTTTGGTGACTACTCTTTGAATACAATGATCCAACCAGTCTACCTTATAGTACTTTCATTTAGATTGTATTTCTTTAGCTTATTAATGAGAATGTCATAGGAGACAGTGTCAAAAATCAAGTTATACCACATCCACTGCTCTCTGCACATCCACAGAGCCCATCACCTTGTCATAGAAGGAAATTAGGTTGGTCAGGCATAACTTTGGTGAAACTATGCTACCTGTTTCTGATCACCTTGGCTGCTTATACACATGTTCAAGGGTGGCGGGGAGGAGGACATTTTAATTAGAGTGGTTCCCAGAGAGTCGCTCTAATGAAAACACCTCATCGTCATGTGTGTTAAGCCCCCACATATTTAAAAGTAGCCACAGGACACTTTATCTAAACCCCATTTGATGAGATTTAGATAAAGTGCCCTCATGACCATTTAAAAATGTGTAGGGGCCTATAAACTTGATGGTGAGGCAATGCTGGAGCGCTCTAATTAGAACACACGGAGCAGACTCGATTAATCAAATCTGTTCCAATGCATCCTAATTAGAATGTAAACTAGCATGTGTATAGGCAGCCCTTGTTCTACTCAAGGTGCTTAGAACTAAATTCCTTGATAAACTGCCCCATGATCTTTCCACATGTTGAGGTCAGACTGACTGGTTTGTAATTCTCCTGATCCTCCTTTTTTCCCTTACTTAAAGATAGGCACTATAGTTGCCTTTTTTTGGAGTCCTCTAGGACCTGACCCATCCTCCATGAGTTCTCAAACATAATTATATAAGGCTGTAGTAATCCCAACTCTGTTCTATGGCTGTGAAGCTTGGGTGACCTATAGGAACCAGCTGAAAAGCCTAGAATGTCTTCACCAGGGCTACCTCCGGAAAATCCTTGGCATAAAGTGAGAGGATCATAATACAAATGGCAGTGTCCTTACTGATGGTAACACCACCAGAATAGAAGTGTTGTTTACTCAACATCAGCTGCAGTGGACAAGGCATTGTGTGTGCATGCCTGATGTACATTTACCAAAACAACTGCTCTACTCCCAATTCAACCAAGGACAAAGGACACTTAGGGGACGGAGAAAATGCTTCAAAGACACCCTCAAGGTGAACATTAAGAAGTGTGGCATTAACATCACAAATTTGGAAACACTCGCCCAGGACAGGGCTATATGATGATGCCTTGTGAGAGAAGGTACATCTTACTTTTAGGAAAGCCATCTCACCCTGAAGGCAGAAAAATGACAGAAATGGAAGGAAAGGAAACAAGACTGAGAAATCCATGATCCAACCTGCCCTTTAACCACAACCTGTGGTGTTTGTCGGTGTCTGTGGCTCTAGCATCAGCCTTCTTAGCCATCAGTGGACTCATCTACAACCCTTTACTTGACCCATGGGAGTGATCATCCTCAACCGTGAAGGATCACTGCTGCTGCCAACAACTGAATGGCTATTAAATTGCGTTAACCAATTCCTTTAGTACTCTAAGATGTACCCCATCTGACTCTGCTTACTTGAAAACATTCAGCTGCTTTAAGTAGTCCCAGACCTGTTCTCACACTGACCTCTTTCATGAAAACTTAAGTAAAAAAGGCATTACGTTTCACTCTTTTCTGACTCATCCATGACTAGGTTGCCTTCTGCATTTAGTAAGGGACCTCTGCTTTCCATGGTCTTCCTCTTACTTCATATTTGAAGAATGCTTTTTTTAAAATTGTCTTTTGTGTTCCTTCCTATTTGCAACTCAGTGCATTCCTTGACCTTCCTAATTTTCTCCCTCTAGACCCATAAGATATTCTTATACTCTTCCATAATAATATGACCAGGTTTCCATTTTTTGTAGGATTTCTTTTTGAGTTTGAACTTATTGACAAATTTACTTTCCGGCCAGACTGGTCTTCTGTTGCACTTCTATACTTCCTATCCTTTCTTTGCATTAGGATAGCTTGTTCTTTTGCATTAACAGAGCATCCTTAAAGTACAGTCAACTTTTCCCTCAGATTTGACCACCTGTTTCTGGAGATTATTCAAGTTTGCATTTCTGAAGTCCAGTATCTTCATTCTGCTACTCTTCTTGCTTCCTTCCCTTATGATCCTGAATCAGTTCCTGGTCACTGTTACCCAAGGTATATTCCTCTTTCACATTCTCAACCAATTCCTCTCTATTTGTGAGCTGCAAATTGAGAAGAACTTTTCCCCTAGTTTGTCTCTCCACCACCTGTACCAAAAAATATCCTTGATGCACTCTAAGAACTTGGACTGCCTGTGCACTGCTATGTTACTCTCCCAGCAGTGATTAAAATCCCCCGTGTGTGCCAGGTTCTGTAATTTGGAGACTTTGGTAAAAACCTCATCTGCCTCTTCCTCTTGGTTTGGACTTCTGAACCCTTTGACCATTTCTATGTACTTTCATGTTATCTCCATTATCCTCAGCAATTGCAAATGAAACTATTCACCAACACCAAAGTCAAGAAACCCATATCCTGTACAAGACCGACCTTCACAAGAAGAATACACACGGGTGAAGAGCATAGTTATATCAATGGTAAGCAGGGAGTATGGTCTTTGGCTGCCTCCCTACAGAGATAACTCTGACAGAGGGGGCTCTGATGCTCACCTTTCTCTTCTTGGCATTTGCTGTCCCTATCCTGGATTGTCTGTGACTGAGGTGGCTAATTTGCCTTCCCCTGCACCTTGTGTTTTTTGCTTGTAGTATGAAGGGACCATGGGGGTATGGTGGAGTCTTCATGTACATTAAGTATAAAGAACATACAGAGCCTAGCTACACAGATGGCCTTCTGGTCTGGCTGGATTTGTGAGGCTTCACACAGAACACAGGACCACTAGAAGTCTCACAAACTATGTAAAGAAATGTTATCCTGTTGTCGTACATTATCTCCCTTCACACCCATTTCGAACCTGCTGACTCATTGTGAGCCAGAGGGACTAATCTCTATCCACTATGCCTTTTTCTGTCCCTGCAGCCCCCACTCTGGTTTGTACTGTCTGACTGAAAGCCCCATGCCCCTTCCCTTCCTTCTTGACTCCCAGTGATGGATTAGTTGTGGCCAAGGGGCTTATTTCCCCTGCCATCGTAAACACCAGAGTGATGTTTCTTCCCTGACTTTTACAATTCTCTGCAGCTTTCATGCCCGGTTCTCAATCAGTAGCATCAGGCCACAAGCAGGAAGAGAAGACAAAACCACGGAAACACTTCCCAGAGACCTGGATTTGGGATCTGGTCCCCATTGGGTAAGTGACTCATAGATCTGTCACTTTAGAAAGAAAGTCAATGGAGGTTCCTGATCACACACCCACTGCTAGCTATGCTGAGAGATGCTCCTCACTGCACTGTACCCCACAAAGTGAGGCATCAAACACTTTCCTAGCTTGAGGCTGAAGAGAATCTTGGATGGGAAGCCCCTGCCTTGATGGTCCTTCTCTAAGGAGTGGAGGCCCCAGGGCAGCATACAGGTCTCCCAGTATTAGACTGAAATATAAAGCCCTCTGTGTATGTCAGTTCCTGCCCCAGCCCCAGTCCTCAGGCATATTTTTTCCCTTCCTCTGCTCCATCTTTCATTCTGCATTGAAGAAGGGCTCTGTACCACGGTAAATGGTGCCCTAGAGGTAAATAGCTCTGTAGTCCATGCCTCAGGCTACCTGAGCCAGCCCCTGGATGGGAGCCAGGAGGCTAGAAGTGAAAGGCCCTGAATGCTTCCAATCTGGGCTGTGCAAATGATGAAAACTTCCTTGTGATTATCCATTTTTTCAGTGAAGAGGGGGAAACCTCTCTTGAAGTCATCATCCCAGACAGCATTACAGAGTGGAGAGTCAGCTCATTCTGCCTTGCGGATGTTGGCTTTGGACTTTCACACCCAGCCACGCTCAGAGTCTTCCAACCCTTCTTTGTGGATGTGAGGCTGCCTTACTCGGTGATCCAAGGAGAGCACTTCATCCTGAAGGCCACTGTCTTCAACTACTTAAAGGACTGCATCCAGATGAAAATCACCCCCTCCCTCATGTCCATGCCCAGATGAGGACCGGATCCCAGGGATGCATCTGAAGCCCATGTACAATCCAGGGGTCTCAGAAGTGCCTCCGTTGTGGGTCCTGGGTCCATGAGGCACAGCCTTACATGTGCAGCTGCCAGGGAGGCTCACCACTGATGTATGTGTCTGTGCCCTCAGGTACACACCACACTGGAGGAGTCTGTGGAGATCCAGGTGGAGCCCTGCCCAAGCTGCCAGTTCACCAGCTGCCTCTGTGCCAATGAAGCCAAGACCTTCTCCTGGAATGTGACGGCCACGAAACTGGGTGAGGTGGCTGAGGAGGCTGTAGGTGGCAGGAGGGAAGCTGAGTGCTTGCCTGCTTCACTAGACCTCTTTCTTTCTCTAGCCTGCTTTGTCACCTGGGTCTTTGCTCTGAAAGCTCACTGCTGTTTCTGTGTGCTCTCCCCTAGGCAGTGTGAATCTCACGGTGAGCTCCCAGGCAGAAAGTGCACATGAGCTGTGTGGCAACAAGATTGCTGTGACACCTGTGCGAGGAGATACAGACACTGTGATCAAATCACTGCTTGTCAAGGTCAGTCTGGGCTCTGAGGACAACAGGAGGCCTTGGCTTGGCCCATTGGGTTCAAAAAGAGAGAAAGGCTGGAGGGCTGGGGGAGGGGAGCAAGGGGCAGATTAGCTCCTTCAGGCACAGGCAGGCCAGCACAAGGACAGCAGCCTACCTGCCTGCCTGCTTTCCTTCCTTCCCTTTCCCAGACTGATGCACTTTTTATCTCCCACAGCCAGGAGATGTCCTCATAAAGAAGACCCACAATGCTTTCCTCTGCAGTGAAGGTATGGAAAGCTGGCCGCAATTACTCTGACTTGTGGGAGGGTCCTGGAGGATCTCACCTTCCACCAGGGTGCCAGAGCCTGCTCAGCGAGGAAGTGCAGGCAGCACCTTTCCTTTCTGGCCAATGACCTGAAATGTCCTAGTTCCACTCAATGAGGGTAGGGGAGGCTCCCCATGGTACAAACAGCATTCAGCCGAGACACCTGCTGGAGTCTGCATATCATGCTTAGGCCCTGCTCCCCTTGCAGCCTGAGCAGCATCTTTCACACCCAGCTTCTGTGTCATTAATCCCGGGGCTGTTTCTTCCTCAGGGGATCCAGTTTCTGATGTTGTTTCCCTGCAGCTGCCCAACCAAGTCCTGGAGGGATCCGGCCGAGCCACTGTCTCTGTTATCAGTGAGGTGCTCCTACCTGTGTCCTGGAGAAATCATAGAATCATCACAGAAAAGTAGGGCTGGAAGTTTATCTAGTCCAACCCCTGTCTGAGGCAGGATCATCCCCATCCAAACTGTCCCATACAAATCCATAATCTAAACTCTTCATAAAACTATTGTCAACCTTGACATAACACAAGACATAACACTCTAGCCTGCTACAGGTAAAGCAGGAGAATCATGGCAGCCAATGCCCTGCTTCTAGAAAAGATTGTTAATATATGCTCAAGAGATCCCAGGTACAGGGCCACACTCCCCATTTCAGAGGCAAATAAAATCCCCCACAGTCCAACCATGGCATAAAATTCCTTCCTAACCCCAAATATGGTGGTTGGCTGGACCCTGAGCAGAGCAGCAAGTCCCTGTAATCAGGAACATCCAGCTTTAAGTCCCAGTAGGAGCACTGGCACATGCCAGTCACCATCCCAGCTTTGGTTGCAGCCAACATCTCTCTGAGGGATTAAAAAAAAACAACACACCTGATACATGCAGCAGTAAAGCAGGGGAGGATGGGCAGGATTCCCTTCCAGCCCCATGTGGCAACCAGCACATCCCAGAAATGTGGAAAATACCTATAGTAAATCATAGGCATAGCTACACCTAGATCACCCCTGACCAATGGCTGTCCAACCTTCTCTTGAATGCCTCTGGTGATGGACAGTCCAGAGCTTCCCTAGGCAGTCTATTCCACTGCCTCACTGTTCCAACAGTGAAGAAGGTTTTCCAGATATCCAATCTCAACCTGCTTTACTGCAACTTCAGGCCATTGGTCCATGTCCTACTCTCTGCAGCAAAAGGAAAAAAGTGTTCCCTCTCTTCTTTACGGTAGCCCTCTCTTAAGTGACCTTTTCTCAAGCTGAACGTGCCTAGCTTCTTCAGCCTCTCCTCGTATGACCTGCTTTCCGAGTCCTTTATCATCTTTGCTGCCCACCTCTGGACCCTCACTAGAGACTTCCCCTGCATTTCTGAACTCACCCAGCCCTAGTCCACAGCCTCTGTCCTGTGAGATAACATGTGGCTGAAACCAAAGCCTCTGAAATCTGTATCAAAATCAAAATCCTTCCCTTCCTCAGAGGAATGCTGTCCAGGATGAAGTTGATCTCCAGCAGCTGTGAGGGAGAAAGCCAGTTTCTTGGACAGGCCATTCCACAGGTCTCAACCTGAGGAAAGATTTAATGAAACTGAGCCAAAAGGCCCTTCCAGTGTTGTCCCAGTTTCAGTCTCTGTGATCTCTGCCACCACTAACTTATCTCTGCCCCTTGACCTTATATCTGGAGGTAGCTGCATAGGGTTGCATTGCCCCTGAATCTTCAAGTTTAGTGAAGCCAGGCTGATCCTTCTCCTCAAAATAGCTCAAGACTTGTACTCATTCACTTCCTCTTCTCCCAGCTCCCTGCAGCGTACGGGTTTCTAATCTTGTGGTGCCCATGGCTGCACTGTTCCAGAGGATGGTGACCCCAGAACCATAAAGAGAGAGAGATATTATCAGTGTTCTGTGCCACAGTGGACACCTTTTTGTCCAGAAGCCTGTCAGAGGTCAGAGAAGGCAAGAGTCATGCCAGGCAATAAGACTGAGCTCAGTGGCATAACTAAGAATTTTGCACCCTGATCAGAGATACTGGAGAGTGGGGGTGAGGGGCACTGGAGAAGGTGGAGGGGCAAGGGGGAGGGACTAGGGACAGTACTGAACACCAGGGGTGCCTATACACACTACGGGTTTTAATCCTCATTAAATTAAATAGGTTTATAAAATTTAAACTTGTTTAGTTTGGAGTGTTGCATCTGTGTTACACGCACCTAGTTTTCAAACGAATGAAACTGGGCCCCTGGCTGACACTGCAGGAGAGTGGGACAGTCCAGCACTGCGCCACCCCCCTGGTCCAGGGCCCCCCACCCCCACCCTGTGCCTATGCCCTGGTATGCAGCTGTGGAAGCAGGGAGCTGGTAAACAAGAAAAAAAAAAAAAACAGAAAAAGCCACACACAAAAAAAAGGGGAAGCAATTCAAAAGCAAAAGCAATTCAAAGGGGTGAACTACAAAAAAGTCGCAGTACCATCTGTTGGACAAAGAGGCTCATTACAAGTCTTTGAGTGCCTGTGTTTTTGAATGCAATAAACCCATGGCTGCAACACTTTAATTCCAGGCAAGCCAAACTAAGCTACGTCCAAGGAATTTTAGTTTAATGCACAAGAAAGGCTTCTAAAGCATCGGGAAACCCCACTCATGCAAACAGACATGCAATTGCAGCTCATGAAAGGGCAAAAATCTTGGTGTGTACATGAACCCCAGAGAATTTTACAGCATGCAGGTTCAAGCTGCTGTGGCCAAGGCAACCTGAAGAGCACCATTCTTGCTCCCTGTTTCAATTGGCATCTGGAGTTGGTGCCCTGCTTGCCCATCCCTAGTTACAGTACTGGCTGCGCTCACATGCTCGTTCTTCTTTCTCAACCTTCAGGGGATATCACGGGTGCAGTGTTGCAGAATTTAGCTGAGCTGCTCCAGATGCCTTTTGGCTGTGGGGAGCAGAACGTGGCCAAGTTTGTGCCAAACATCCTGGTGCTCCACTACTTAGAGAAGATAAAACAAGTGACTCCAGAAATCAAACAACAGGCACTGGAACACATGCAGAGTGGTAAGCAGGGTCCTTCCATGTTTTCTCCACTAAAAGGCAGGTGTTTGATATCAGAAACAAACGGCTCTGGCAGACATGTGTAATGAGTTCGAGATTGAGATACCAAGGGGCTATTGGCCAGAACAGAGAGGCATGGGCAGAGAGAACGTCTGGGAGATCTGTGACAATGTGCACAGCCACAAAGATTAAGGCAGCTATCTCAAGGATGAGAAACCTATGCATTTTGGCATACAGGACTTATTCTCTGTATTTGTTGATTAGGGCCCTGATCCTGGAGTTGGGGAAAAGTGGGTGGGTAATTAGTAATTTGCATTCCATACAGTGGGGAATCAGTGTTTCCTCATCTACTGGAGGCAGAAAGTTGTCCGTGTAGTTGTGGTCTGTTGCTGTCAGTGACAATTCTCTGACCAGACCTACCATAGGGTACAGTTAGGAGGAATCCCATAATTTGGTATTTCTTTGTATTTCAGAGTGTGCTTTGGGGTAGGTATGTGTGTGCATGCTGTCTGTGTCTGGCCGAGCTGCCTGTTGGAGGAGACCAGAGCTCAGCACTCACCTCTCTGTGCTGTACTTCACACTGGCCTGTGCTGCACTGTCTCCTGGGACAGGGCTGCAGACATCTCTGAGAAGGGCTGTGAGGGAAGGAGCAGAGCTGGCCTAGAGCCACTAGTATGTTGTAGGTCAGGAAGGGGAGGGAGGGAGCAGAGGGAAGCCTTTATCATGTGGATGAAACTGAAATAGTCCAACAATTTGCACCAGAGAACACCAAGGCTGGCTCCAGTCCTTCTCAGTATTAGAGTTACACCTTAACAATCATTTCCTTTATCCCCAAAGCATGTAGCTGAAGGGGAGTTAAAGGCTGGGTTAGAGAACCACAAATGGGATGATGTCATGTATGTTCCCTCTGGCCTAACAGACACGAGACTTAATCAGAGCCCATGCCTTATTCATAGCAATGTGCTAGTTAGGGTTTCCTCAAGGAGAAGCCAAATTAAATGTGAGGGGGGTGAAGCAAATAAGTTTGTCCTATGGTCACCTTGGTAAGGACTAGGGGCAGACTCACTGGCACTCTCCAGCAGTCTGTACTGCTCTGGTGAAGCAAGGTGACCCGAGGGTATTGTTGGAGCAGGACAAGGCAGCAGAGCTGTCTCTGTGTGTCTTGTGTAACAGATCTAGTGCCTGTGGGATTCCACTGCAGGGGTCTGATCCCAGGGGAATCATCACAGACCAGATCATTGTCTCTGTCTCCCCAGGTTACCAGTGCCAGCTGCTCTACAAGCATGACAATGGCTCCTACAGCGCCTTTGGGAAGCGTGAGGCTGAGGGCAACACCTGGTGCGTGGGCCATACTGGTGTGTTCCATTCACTTTCTGGCCCTGGCAGAGCCAAGGCCAGAAGCTGCCTGCTTTTGCGGGTGGCCAGGATAGATATCCTTTGCTCTCTGCCTGCAGGCTGACGGCACTTGTGGCTCGGGCCTTTGGCCAGGCAAGGGCCTACATATACATTGATGAGCAGCATGTGAAGGACGCTGTGGATTGGCTGGGACAGAACCAGCTGCCCAGTGACTGCTTTCGGAGTGTGGGGAAGCTCTTCAACAACCACCTGAAGGTACAGACACCTTTCACTGTTCATGGAGCGAGGGGGACTACAGCAAGGGAAAGA